GCATGCGTGTTGTGGGGACAGTTTGGAGCAAGAGAAATCTCCACACATGGGGGTGTTGCTTGCCACCGTGGGAACAGTGACATTTTGTAAAGAGAACACATTGATGACTTCCAAACTGTGGTCTGTGTTTGCAGCATCTGGGGCAGGATCTGAACCAGAGTGTTCAGGGCAAGTTGGAACATGCACATAACACATGTCATCATGCATCTTGCTTCTGTATTTTCTTTCACTTTCTATTTTTGTACTTGCTTTGTGCCTTGAGGCTTGTAAATTGCTTATAGTCAGTAGCTTATTGCCAGCATTGGGACCTCTTTAGGAAATGACTACTTTTTCAGAGATTTTCTATATGGGTAGCTGGCTTTGGAGTCTATTTTCCCAAGATTTTGCCTTTTCTTTTTTCTTTTTTCAAAACAAGAAACTATGGAATTTCTTTTTTGGTACTGGGAATCAAACTCAGGGTCTTGTGGTTGCCAGGCAGGAGCTGTGCCACTGAGCTCCATCCCCAGCTCTGCCTCTTCAGTTCGGTAGGAATGAAGGGCTGCTGCCTGTTTGGCCCAGCACCCAGTTCTTATAGTTCTGTAGTCCAGAACTACAGGATTGTTTGTGCCCCTCAGACAACCGAGGTGGTGGTGTTCAAAGAAGATCAATTGATGCCAATAACTCTGTCACTTTGGCTAAAATAGTACAGTCTGCAATAACAACTGCATCCAGCACAGGCCAGGAAATGATAAGCTGTTTTGACCAAGAACATGCCTGCTTTAACCACAGGTATGAGATTTATAGTTACACAGCCAAATCTAAGGCAAAGCAGAATATTATATACAGTAAATATATATACTCAATAGAGCAATTTACCCTAAAGGGAGAAAATTTATTAGGGATACCAAGAAAATATAGAAAAATAGAGATAAGAAGACTGAAGTACAAAGGGAGATCACCAAGTCTTAGAAAACGAGTGATAAAACAGGAGCAAAAAGCAGGACCAAAAAAGAGAGAAAAATACAAAAGCTGAGAACAATGTACACAGGCAGGAAAAACAAAACACAAAGACAAAATGTTCTCTGACTTTAAACCTGTGGCAGGCCTCTGCGGTCTGTGGTCTTATTGCAGTGTCCAGTGCAGAGAAGACAGTGGAGGCACTCCGAGCCCAGCTGCGTGCTGTCAGATCCCAGCAAGCCTGCAGTAGTGTTTTGGGCCCTTGAGTTAGCTAGAAATACTATAGCAGGGAGACAGGGCTAGGTCCTGGAAGGAGCCAGTGCAGGAGCTCAGATACCTTGCAGCTAAGGGGAGACAGGCACCTCCTGCTGTGGGCCAAACCTCAAGACAAAAGATCAAACAAATACATCCATAAGGACTGATGTTCTAAATAGCTTCTTAGCACCCCGCGGAAGTCAGGAGTCACCATTCCAACCCCCTAGGGAAGATTCACTGCTCTCTAAGAATGCCTGCTTTCTAAGTGGCTCACTTCCCCATTTGTCCCCAATTTAATGAATTTACCTGAACTATTAATCTTATTGGTTAACCATAGTTCTGCCCTACCTTATGCCCATCTGCCTTGTGAGTTCCCAGTTTTGCCCACAAGTCCATCTCATCCCATGATTTTCCTCTATAAACGTCCCTGGGAAAGACAGAGTCCCACTGCTTGGGACTCCTTCTGTCTCTCTCAGACAGAAGCTTGCTTTCTCTCAATAAATATATTTTACTCTTTACCTCTATTGTTCCTAAAATTGACTCTTTGATTTTAGAGAACATGAATTCACCTTCAGCCGGTTGTACCCCTTCCCAGCCATAATGTGCCCTTTCTGTGGCTTTGGGGAGCAGTTGAGGAGGACGACAAGGGACAGATTCAAGCTGAAGCCATGGATGCTGCCTTACTTGCTCTAAGGTAGGGCGCATGCTTGGGTCAGGGTTGAGAAGCCCCTTGATTAAGCTTTGCACCTCTTTGGAGAAGTGCTGGGGAAACTGGTATCGCCCCTTTAGGGCATTCTTTGTCAACTGTGTTTTGCTCCTCCTGACATAGTAGGTCAGGAGTTTCACTCCCCTATATCATTTGGAGGTCTTCCACTGAGATCATTGGAAAGAGGTGAGAATTTGCTTTTGCTTCATAGACTCTCAAGTGGGACTTATTTAGGTAACAAATTTTTATGCCTCCAACTTTGCTTTTATATTTGCCAGTTACTTTTGATAATTGCTTGCTATTTGCCCGTTGTTTTAAAGTGCTTTGTCTCATATAGTTTTATTAAAATAATGTAAATCAGCTGGGCATGGTGGCTCATATCTGGAATCCCAGCACTCAGGAGGCTAGGGCAGGAGGATCCTTGTGAGTTCCAGACCAGCCTGGGCTACAAAGTGAGCTCAAGGCCAGCCTGAACTGCATAGGGAGACCCTGTCTCAGACAAAAAAACAAACAAACAAACAAACAAAAATGTAATATAAATCCAAGTTTAAACACAGGAAAATTAAAAGGTCATGATATTTCTTTAATGCTATATACTAGCAAAAAGAGCTTCCTTATGTTTGTATAATGCCAAAGTACCTGTAATGCTACCTACTGTTCTGTATGCGACCCCCCCCCGCCCCCCTCTGGGTGACCTCATATGTTAATCAATACTCCCTTCTGTAAAAAATTGTAAATCCCTGGGAACCTAACCTAATTGATATGTTAACCATTGTTGCCCTCTACAAATAACAGATGTAGTACTAAAATAACCTGACAAAGGTTTATTAACTACTGCTAGGCTACTCTGTCCTCTGCTAAGGAAAACATTTCCTTAGCAGATTTCCTGATCCACCCCCATAACCCTTTTATAAACTGTGCTCTCTACAAAAGAGCTAGAAAGCTTTAAGGGGGACACACAGCTTTTGCAAGCTCCACCTGCACTGTGTCAGTGGGCCTAGGATAAAATAAATCAGCGCTGTTTTTTTAAAATAAAAATATGTATGCCCATTTTTGAATTCGAGTTTGGGCTTTGGAGGGCTTGTTTGTGGATTACAAGATTAAGGGGCTCACCTGGGAGTACTGGGGGACCCCTCCAAATTATTTTTTCACCGATCGATTGGCTTAACATCTGTAAGTATTTGGTTTTTTGCCTGTTTGTAATCTGAGTGTGCACATTTGTAACTGCAGATAAAATGAGACAACTTCCAGGGGCCTTTTTGCCCATTTTGTAATTTAGGGCTTTTGGGGCCCATTGGTAACTTTGGGCTTCGGCCCGTGTAGGGGTTTTTGCCCATTTGTAATTTGAATGTGCACAGTGACTGCAGACAAGCTCGCGCTTTTTCTGCACCGGATTCTGGGGGCTCTCGCCTACTTGTAATGTGTGTGGCCTATGCCCGTGTGGGGGACCTAGGCCCATGTGTATGGCCTAGACCCGTGTGGGGGACCTGGGGCTGTGGGTATGGCATAGGCCTATGTGGGGGACCTACGCCCATGTGGGGTGTTGGGGCCTGTTTGTGTTTTAGGGCCCGTTTTCACCCAGCAATCCCTGGTACTGATAAAATTTTTTTTTACTAACTTAGGGGCTTGTTGTCCATTTCTGTTGCAGGATCAATGTGGCTTATTGGACTCAAGGTTCATAACAAAAATTATTTCCTTTAGCTTGCCAAACTGGGGGCAGAAAAACCTTCATTTATGTCTTTAATGTTGGTATTATCTTTTGTGGCACCTTGTTTAATGTTTTTATCCTCAACTGATTACTTGCAACCTCTGCATGCCTTTTTTTCTTTTTTTTTTTTTTATGGTTTTTTTTGGTTTTTTTTTTTTATGGTTTTTTTTTATGGTTTTTTATGGTATTTTTCTTTACGGTTAAAATGTGAATATATGTGCGCATATATATGTATATTTATGGTTTTTAAAAATCATATTAACTTTTGCAAGTAAAAACCAGGTCATACTATAATTGAGCCAGTTAAAAAAGTTAGTTTTTAAAATGTAGCATTTTAATGTGGTGAAAAGAAATAAAATGATTACATAAGTTTTAGACTACTAAAAGAAAGTCATTTCAAGCATTTTGTTAAAGGTTTTAACAAAACCTAAAAATCAAGAGAAAAAGTAATTGACTGATAATAAATTTTAAAAAGTGGTTTTGTCTTAAAATAAAAATGTAAAAGAGAAAATGCTTTTTGTGCTATGGCTATCAAGAGCAAAGAGCTCAACAGGATGATTTGCAATATTGTGAGTTTGGGGGAGGGGAATTTCCAGGAATGCTATACATTATAAAGACAAAGTTGAGATTTTGATTGCTTGCAAAAAACAGAGGAAAAAAATTCGTCTTCTACTACAATAAGCTGATCTAAATTTAAAAGAAATAACTATTATGCCTAATGTGACTGGTGATTATAGAGATAAAATACAAGTTCTTGCATGTGCTGTGGATATCTGGGAGATTATGCGGCACAATTACTTTTGTTACCTATGAAAAAGCCTTTTTTTGTTAAGTATGTACTTTCAGTAAAACAGTGGCCTGCCATGTGGGCAATGGCCCACCCTGGGACAAAAAAACAAAAACAAAAACAAAAAAAACAGTGTGCCATCCAGATAAAACCTGCCTGTGATCCAGAATGCCAAAACCATGTTTTCCTTTTGTCCCACCCCAATTGGACAACCAGAGGTGAGGAGGTTCCTTATGGGTATTGCCAGTTGTTCTCAGTAGCCATTAGGGCACCCCAGAAAACCTACCTTTTGCCCAAGAGAGCAGAGGTGAGGCAATTGGCTCAACAGAGACTTATTAGTCTCCCTCGGGGTTTTCTGAAAAGAGTACAAAAGGCCTATCACATTTATACACCAGTAGTGCCTAAAAATGCAAGGGCCATTAATATTGCCTTTGTAACCCAGTCGGCCACTGATATTAAGCAAAAATTGCAAAAGTTTGAGAGATTTGAGGAAATGCCCTTCAGTCAGTTATCAGAGGTTGCTTAAAAGATATTTGACAACCGGGAGGACCCTAAAGACCAGGCTTAAGAGGTTTCTGCTGGGCAGAAAAACTGCATTGCTTGTTGGACTTTCCATAAAAAAATAAAAATAAATGACTCTTTCCTCCCAGCAGATGCAAGCCATCCAACAGATTCCAGTCCCTGTGACTAAAAACTGGGTGGAAAAATTTCTAGGAGCCATAGGACTGACGCAGAGTTTGGGACCCTGGCAGAGGCCTGTTGCCTATCTTTCCAAGAGACTTGATTATGTGGCAGCCAGATGGCCACCTTGTCTGTGGGTGTTTTCCTCGGTAGTCATCCTGATAGAGGAGACACAAAAACTGACTTGTGGACCAAAACTCTTATTTTGTCTCCTCCTATTCGCTGGAGACTCTCATCAAAGCTCCGCCGGACCAATGGCTGCCCAACTCCCAAGTCATGCATTATCAAGCATTACTTCTAGATCTGACTACCATCAGTTTCAAGGGGACAGCGGCTTCAAACCCTGCCACTCTGCTGCCTGATGATGCCCCTCCTTGCCCTTCCACATCTGTATTGGGGACCAGACTTGACAGATGAGCCACTATTCAGAGTTCCTTTGTATTTCTCCGATGGAAGCAATTACATTTATCCAGGTAAGTGGGTTGTGGGAGCTGCCATTACTACAGACTCTCAGATTCTATGGGAACCAAGCCTGGAGCCAAAAACATTGGCCCAACAGGCTGAACTCATTGCCCTCACTGAGACCTCAAGTTGTCAGTATGCATTTGTTACTGCCCATGTTCGTGGGACCATTTATCAAGAATGGTGCTTATTGGCTTCTGGGGCCAAAAGATTAAAAATGTTTCCCAAATTTTGGACTTGTTGGCTGCCATCTGGATGCCAGGAAGAGTGGCTATTATCCACTATAGAGCCCATTGAGCAGGAGATGGCCTTGTTATATGAGGAAATAATTTGGCAGATGCCACCACCCAAAAGGCAGCTGTAGAATCAGTGGGGATTTGAGATAGCCCTGACATCACTGCATTCCCACCTACTTTGTCAGAGCCTATTTGCACTTGAAAAGACTTGCATTTGGGGGCTAATATCAAAGCTTGCCCAGTCTGTGAGTCTCAGATGCCCTCAGTGCCATTTGGTGAACCCAAAGCAGCCACTCACTAAGTGGGACTATTCCTAGAGAACACTGGAAGGTAGACTTTACAGAAGTGGGGAAGCCTGGACTTCAATGATATGAGTATTCACTTATAATGGTTGATACTTTCACTGGATGGGTAAAAGCTTTTTCTACAAAATCTGAGTCAGCTCTGATAGTAGTCAAAAAACTCTTATATGAGGTTGTCCCACAATTTGGCCTCCCCTTATCAATGGGGCCTTACAATGGGCCGGTTTTTATGGCCCAGATAACTCAAAAACTAACCAAAGTCTTGCAGATCAATTGGAAACTCCATTGTGCTTACTGCCTCCAAAGATGAAGACAAGTAGAAAAGATAAACCAGACATTAAAGATGGTAATTACTAGTGGCCTTAGAAACTGGTGAGAACTGGGGAGTCTCCTTCCTTTTTTGACCTCTTGTATGCACAGTGTACCCTCTATGTTACTGGTATTTTCCCTTTTGAGGCTTTATATGAGAGAACTCCTCTTATACCTAAGATTTTTGAGGAAAAATTAGCTGATTTAGCTAATCAAGATCTTATTAAGTCTCCCCAAAGTCTTTAGCCAGTTCTGACTTCCACCCACTGGTTATTTTGACAACAACATCCTCCACCTGCAGCCCACTGAGAGAACAAACACCCTGCTGTAGAGCCTGGGTCACCTGTGCTCATCAAGAGGCTTCACCATGGATCTCTTGAGCCATTGAAAAGGTCCCTACATTGTAGTCCTCAGCACTCCAACTGCTATCAAAGTAGCCAGAAAGCCTGCCTCGATGCATCATTCCCACTTCAAGCAGGTCCTGGCTTCCAAAGGCGATCAACCTAGAGATAAGTGGACTGTCATTCCCTCCAAGGACTCTTTAAAGCTCAAGACTGCCAAATGTAACTAATAATCTTGTGTTCTCCCTTATAGAAACCCCAAGGAAACCTCTATCTGGCTTTTTAAAAAATTGTTAATTATGTGACAAAACAGTGAATTTAAATGTTGGTTTTCTTTCTCCTTTTGGTTAACAGCTTTAATAATGACAGCTGCAAGAAATTTGTTAATCTTCCTATTGGGCCTTGTATTATACTCAGATTGGAAAAGTATGTCAAAGATCAGGTTCAAACTATACAGCTTACGATTTTAAAGATGCAAGGTTATAAACAGATACTTATGTCTGAAAACCTCATGAGCCAATGATTTGGTGCACTGACTAAAATCAGTGGGGAATGCTGTACACTAGGAAAAAGAGCTCTGTTACGTTTGTATTATGCCAAAGTACCTGTAACGCCGCCTACTGTTTTGTATGCATTTTCCCCCATCTGGGTGACCTAACTGATATGTTAATCAATGCTCCCGTCTGTAAAAAATTGTAAATCCCGGGGAACCTAACCTAATTGATATGTTAAACATCGTTGCCCTCTACTAATAACAGATGTGGTGCTAAAATCAGCTGACAAAGAATTAACTAATGCTAGACTACTCTGTCCTCTGCTAAGGAAAACATTTCCTTAGCAGATTTCCTGATCCACCCCCATAACCCCTTTACTTTGTAAACTCTGCTCTCTACAAGAGGCTAGAAAGCTTTAAGGAGGACACACAGCTTTTGCAAATTCCAACTGCACTGTGTTACAGGGCCCAGGATAAAATAAATCAGCGCTGCTTTTTGAAAATAAAAACATGTCTTGCCCATTTTTGAACTTGAGTTTAGGCTTTGGGGGGCTTGTTTGTGGATTACAAGATTTAATGGCATATTTTTATTATTTTATTCTTTCACATGTTATATTAGTTGCTAAAGTTACTGGTATTCCTTGCTTAACTATATTTAGACAATAGCACCACAGATAATAATAGAACACCCTGAATAGTCTTTAATATAAATTTCTATTAAATGGTTTTCTTAAATGAAATCTAGTTCAGACTTAGAAAACATACATGCCTGCAATAAAACATGGGACTCGTTCCACCATTTAAGAAGCACTAGGCTGGTGGCCATGCTTCCAGATTTGGAGCACAGGTTTCACTGAGACAGACTGGCTCTGCTCCTCCTTTATACTCCAGAGGAATGTCAAGCCTGTTCTGTTTCCTTTGTTTCACTTTATCTCTTACTCTCTTGCCACTTTACATTTTCCTAATAAAGGCATATAAAAGTGGGAAAAACTCTAGATTATTCCAACCTTTTCCTTTTGAGTTAAGCCCATAGAAAATGAGCATTTGCTAATGCCAAGAACAGGGAAGTCATCTTAGATGAGGGACACATACTCCATCTCTGGGTCAGATGAGACATCAGAATTGTGCCCATTCAGGAGAATACACATGAAAGCTGTGTCCCAGCTCAGTGTTCTGGGCAAATCTCCTTTGGAAATTAAACCTGAGACACAGTGGGGAGAACCAGTTTCCATGTGGCAATGGAAGCAGATATCCTTAAAAGCAGCACACATAGGGGACGTAAACCTATTTAGAATAAGGAGGCTTTCCAACCTCTCAAATTATGGACTTAAAAACCTTTATTATAAATTGATAAATGTGTAGGTAATGATCTTGCAGTCTGTTAATTATCGCTTATAGAATTTTGACACACAGTGGTCACTGTGCCAGCTAATCATCCTTACAGCAACTGCCACCCTCAAAATCAGAGGCTAGCTTTCCCCAGCATCTGTTAGGTGAATCCCCATTGAAGCCAGTGGCCAATGGATTCAACAGAATGTTGACCAGACAGGCAGCTGGATTCCTTTTTGGAGACTGATTTCTGGTTATCTGAGGCAATAGAAACTGAGAACTGAGGGTTCCTGGCCAGAGCAACACCCTGGTTGGCACCCAACATTTCCTCAAAGGACATTTGCTCATGACCACTTAAAATCTCCCCTTTTCTATTATCCTTATTTCTCTGCTAGTAGACTAAAAACATTCTAAACTTTTCAAGAGATCTTTAGATCACTTAGACTACCCATCCCTTCAGAGATTATACTGAGGTAGCTTGCAATGATTGCTTACATTCCATAGCAGCTAGTAGGGAAATGATTTACCTATGTTAATTAAAACTAAATAGACTTGAACAATTATTTCTAAGATGACAATATGTAATCTATTAACTAGTGATTTCTATTTTTTTGAAATTCTGTATTACTTGTACTCTTTTTCTGTTTTTTCTTTTCTCTTTAAATAAAAGTTTTTTCTTTTGTCTTTAAATAAAATTTTTTAAAAAGTAGGACTTCTGGGACAACATGGTGGACAGATAGCAGATACTACGGAGGCTCTCTGAAAGGCTTGGTTCAGAAGTCAGGAATGGTGCGGACTAAGGAGACATAAGCCGGTAGAGATATGCTCTGCTGACTCAGGAACGTACTGGGCTGAGAGAAACCAACTTGGAATGCAGTCCTGGTGCTAAAACAGGAACAGAAAAGCCTCGGTGTGGAGTCTAGACCCCGCGCCAAAGGAAGCCATGATTTGGGTTTCCTGGCGCGCTGTGGCTGGCTGCCTCTACATCGGCTCGGCAAGGAGAGAGACGCTCAGAAGCTCTGAGAACGGGAGTCTGTGAACGGAGTCGAAAACAGGATGGCCAGGGAGGCGTACACTGACTTGTGGTGAGGTGAGTGAGAGAAACTGACACTCTACCACAGTTTGACTCCAGTGGAGGACTTTCTGGGCCCGGGCAGTCCTGCGGGAGCAGGGCGCGGTGGCGACTCCAGCCACACATTCCCCTCTCGGACGGGATTGGTGAAAAGTGCCTGGCCTGCGTGACGCTGCTGGTGGACTAGATAGGCTGGCCCAACCCAGATCCCAGAGCCTGACGGTGGCCCGGAGGGGCGACTCCCACGTAGGCTGCCTAGTCCGTAACTCCCTGGTGCGCTGCGGTGGGCGGGAACACCTAGTCAGCGCAATTCCATCAGGCTGTGGCTGACAGGGAGGGAAGCTGGGCCTCCTGTGTAAACTTGCATATATAAGGAACAGAGAATATGGGAAAAGGCAGCAACAAGAAAGGCTCCTTGGCCCCCAATTCTGAGAAACAGGCAATAGCGGACACCGCACCAATAGACATAAAGCGCCATATAGAGAGCCTCATAGACCAATTCAGGAATGAAGTTATCAATGACCTGAAGCTAGAAGTATGCAGAATAGTTAGAGAAATGCTAAGCACCACCCTGGAAAAAACAGATGGTGGAATGGAAGAACAGAAAAAGAGGGGAGAATTGCTTGATGGAGAAAACAGAGCATAGAGTATGTGAAGCAGGTTCAAAGGGACTATCAAGAAACTAAGAAGTCTATCCAAGACTGGCATAACAGCTTGAAGGAAACTAAGGACAGACTATCTGAGGGCATGCTTGTAATATGAGAGAATGAAATGAAAAACTTCTTAAAAATAACAAAGAAACAAACAGCAATAATACAAAGACAAGAAGACGATAAGAGGATCCATAACTTAAGGATTAAGAACATAAAAGAAGAAGTAGGGACACAAACAAGTGAACTACAAAAGCTACTCACAGAAATAATCCAGGAGAATTTTCCTAATTTAGCAAAAGGTAAAGATACTCAGATGTATGAGGCATACAGGACCCCAGCTACCTACAACCCAAACAGAGCAACACCCAGGCATATAATAAAAATTCCAGAAATTCAATACAAGAACAGAATATTAAAACCTGTCAGAGACAAGAAACAGACCACTTACAAGGGAACACCCATCAGAATTACAGCACATTTCTCTGCACAAACCATCAAATCATGAAGAGCGTGGGGGGAAACAATTCAAACTTTGAAAGATAATAATCTCCAGCCAAGATTGAGATATCCTGCACAACTGTCCCTGGAAATTGATGGAAAAACAAGGTGCTTCCAGGATAAAGAGGAACTGGGGGAATTTGCAACCACCAATTCAACTCTATAGAAAGTATTGCAGGATATTCTAAAAAAAAAAAAATACAAAGAACCCAGAAATAGTGGTGGGGAGGCCACAACGAATGGAGCAGAGAACAAAATGAAGAAGAAAAACTGACAGCTACTGACAGAAAAAGAGCTCAACAGAAATGAGACAGAGAAGATTGGATGATAGGAACAGCTATTTTGGAGAAAATGACATCTTAATAGGTAATACTGATTTAGTATCATCTTGTTTTGAAGTCTCATCTAGCTTTTGTTCTTCTGTCTCCAATGGTCTAAATACGTTGTATCTTATTGGAGTTTATTATGTACGATAGTATAAGTAAAAACCTTTTAAAGACAAGGAGATTATACAGAAACCATTGTTCATTTTCTGTTAGTCGATTCTAAATATTCTGTAATGCTGTCATTCTCTTAAATGGTTTTACATTTTTTTTTTTGACTTTTTCCTTTTTATCGGTACCAGGGATCAAACTCACGACTGCCTGCTTACAAGGCAGGTGCTTATGCCGCTGAGCTAAATCCCCAGCCCCGGTTTTACATTGTTTTGATAAACTTAATGCTACAGTATACGAAGTTGTACTCAAGGACTTAAAGGAAAGATTCAATATGGTAGTTACTTTTGGGTTGGAATTATCTGGTGGTGAAACACTATTCTGCTTAAATGTTTATGTTTTGATCTGCGCTGTTTCGCTGTTATGCCCTTTTTTATCCCAATCTCCACTCCATTATTTACTCTTTTATTTTTATCCATTTAATTAAAGGGAAAAAATAGCAGGATATATTATAGTAACCCACTTTGACTTTCTATTATCTCGATTTGAAGCCTTGTATTACTCTCACCATCTTGTTTTTGACTGATGTTCCCCTATTCTGTTTTGCTGGATAGTATCAGGTTCGAAAGTTTAGGCATCAGCTGTGAAGATAATGAGATTCATTATGACGCCCATTCTCGTTGACTTTTATCTACTTTTGAAGACCTACAAAGTCTCCAATGGTTTGCTTTTGTCGGTTTTGTTCTTTACTGTTTTGTTCAATTGTATTATAACTAATGATATAGGCAATTCAATTAGAGATAGCTGGAGGCATTATGGTAACCACTGTTGATCACCGTGTATTATGTTTTTACATTATCTATTATGTCCACCCTTTTGACTTGACCGATTCTGTTCTGTTATGTCACATTTGGTTTTACTCTCTTCCAAAAAAGCAATAAGAACCGTGGGAGCAATGAAACCCAAAATGTGTAATAGTCATTGTACAAAAGAGAGGAAAAGAAAGTGCTCTAAACTATATAACTGCATGTATATTTAAGTGTATAAGTTAGAAAATGATATCACAGAGTTTTAAATCATTGAACAGAACTGTTTGCAGTATCATTGTTGGAATGTCCACTCTACAAGCTTTAATTTTGTGACTTGAACAATTATTTCTAAGATGGCAATATGTAATCCATTAACTAGTGATTTCCTACTGTTCATTTTTTTCTGTAAATCTGTATAACTTGTACCCTTTCACTGTTTTTTTCTCTTTTCTCCTTAAATAAAATTTTAAAAAAAAGTAACTAGGATTTTCTGTGTGACTAGAAGACTGATGTGCCTCTTTCTAACTTAAAATGTGACTGCTAGATGATAATTTATAAATTTAACCTGTGAGCTTCAAAGATACAGAAATTTAAATGAAGTATAGCCTTGTCCTGTTACTAAGAAAAGTTACCTAGATAATTAAGTGAGAGACAAATGTCTGGAGACTCTTTTGCCCAGATTAAGGAGTAATGCTCCTCCAGTCAGTTGTTCTATCTATCTCTAGAGGAGAGTTACTCTAAAAAACCTGAAAAGTACTCTACCACCAATTCACCTTTTAATGTATGCTCCCTTATAATACATGTTTACAAAGTCATGCTTCCTTCGCTAAACATTCTTTATGGAAACAAAGCTCATGAGCTATCTGGGAATATAGGATTGTGTGCCAGTTCCAGGGTGGATAGGCTGACAGAAACTATGGTCCATTCTCTCCAGAAGGCATTCACCTGCCCTGGAGCAGTTTCAACCCAAGAGACACGTGGGGAACATCTATCAAACAGGGAAAAAAAAGGACACCTTATTTTAACTCATTTTATGTATAACTAGATAGCTCAATATCTCTCATAGCTCATCAAATGGTCCTTAGTTCAATGCCTGGGTACAGAAAAGGTTTCATACTTATGCCTTGCTTTTACATTATAGACATGGACAACAAAATGTCAAAGCCCATTCTCCTTTGGAACACATTCTTAGGCACTAGATGTTCGAGCCTTCCATGTTGAAAAAGATCCAATTGGTATTTCTCTGCATGAGTGTGTGGCCTACCTACCCCCAAGAGCCTTAGTGGAATACAGAGGTAAGTATTAATTATGATCCTCTTTTACAACTAGAGACATACAACGAAAAGGAGGGGAAAAGGTCAGTGCTGTCCTACATTCAGACTTTCTATGCATTGGGAAATATTTCTTATTTATATTCTAAATGTAAATGTGAGTAACAGGAAAACTCAGCACCTTGGGCTCTTAAGGCATCTTCTACCCAAGAGCCGAAAATTGCACCTCCTGAACCTTTAGAACCTGAGGACAAAATAGCCTTAATCAAATCCTCCCCCACTTTTACTGAACCTAAGGTTTCCCCCACCTGCCCTTCCAGCCTTAAGGATAAAGCGTCTAGGCCAGCTGTAATCCAGGCCTTTCCAGGACTATACCCATCCTTAGCTGAGTTTAAGCAAGCTCCTCAAGGGCAGTATCCTTTGCAGGGAGTACATGGATGATCTGGAACTTCCAGAATTCATGTACCTTTCTCTCTTGGTGACCTAAAACAAATAAAATTAGATCTTGGGAAATTTTCAGATGAGCCTGCCAAGTACATTCAGGTCCTTAGAGGACTTACTCAGGCATATTAAGTAGATTGGAAAGATGTAGTGTTACTCTTAAATCAGACATTCATTTCTAGTGAGAGACACGCAGCATTACAGGCTGCTATTGCCTTTGGATATGAATACCATATTGTCAATTTTAGAAGGCCAGAAGATAAAGGGAAATAACTTTAGCAACTAGTTTAAATTTAACTTGTGCAAGAATAAAATAATAAAAATATGCCATTAAATCTTGTAATCCACAAACGAGCCCCCAAAGCCCAAACTTGAGTTCAAAAATGGGCAAGACATGTTTTTATTTTAAAAAAGCAGCACTGATTTATTTTGTTCTGGACCAGCGACACAGTGCAGTTGGAGTTTGCAAAAGCTGTGTTCCCACTGGATCACAAACAGTCCCTATGCAAGACTCTTACTGGGCCCACAACCAGGTGAGTGATTGGATTAGAAATCATTTCCAGACATGTGTTCTTGAAGGCTGAAGAAGAGTGAGAACTAAACCATTCAATTATTTTAAGTTATCAGTTATTCAATAAGAAAAGAAGGAACAATTTTCTGCCTCCTTAGATGGATTATGAGAGGCATTGATAAAGCATACTTCTTTAGATTCTGATTCAATAGAGGGACAAATTATCCTTAAAGATAAGTTTATTACACAGTCAGCCTCAGCTATTAGAAAAAAGCTACAAAAGATGGCTTTTCCTCCAGATAGTCCACTTGATACTTTATTTATTCATTCATTTTGTGTGTGTTGGAGTTTGTGGATCAAACACAACACACATTTGACAGGCAAGTGATTTTGCTACTGAGCTAAACCCCCAGCTCACTTGATACTTTAGTAAAAGTTGCCTCCTCAGTATTTTATAACTGTGATGAGAGGGAGGTCAAAGAGAGAAAACAAAGAGACTGCGAAAAAGCAGCTGCTTTTGCGCAGCATTAAGAGAAACAGACCCTAAGTCTGATTCTCAGGTCTCTAAGAAGAGCTCAACAATGACATTCACCTGCCATCACTGCCACAAGCCAAGTGACCTTAAGAGGGACTGCACTCAAAAGCCCCCTGGGCCATGCCCTGACTGCAGAGGTGACCACTGGATGTCAGACTGCCCTCTCAGCCCAAGGCCCCACCAGGGTTCAGATTCATCCTACCTTTACCTCTTAGCAAAATAACAAATACACCTCAAAACCTAGGCCTCAGTCCGCTTGAAATGCCTTATGGATGCCCTTTCCTCACTGATGATTTTCTCTTTGTCAGAGAAACAGATGCCTTAAAAAAAGACATCACCTCATTGGCTAAATTCCAGCAAACTCTTCAAGAGCTTACAGAAGCTCAGCCTACAGAGAAAGGAAAACCTATCTTCCACCCTGGAGATTTAGTGCTGGTAAAATCCCCTCCCTCATCAGCCATTGGGAAGGACCTTACACTGTGATCCTGTCGACTTCTTCCATGCTGAAGACAAGAGGCCTGGACACTCGGATGCATCACACCTGACACAAACCCTGGAAACCTGAGACTATCACTGGATGTGAACAACCACCCACATACTCCTGCGAACGCACAGAAGACCTAAGATTCCTCTTCAAGGAGAAAACAAAGACTTCAGGTAAGTAAGGCTACTATTAGCCCTTTTACTGTTCCCTTCACCACTGAAAGGAGGATGCAACTCCTTTTTAATGTGGGCACAAGCATATGCAAAATCATTACAACACACCTCTTGCAGGATATGTGGCTCACTGCCCTTGTCCAGTACATCAGGACTTCCTTGGTGGGTGTCTCCACTTCAAGGATGTGATTGGAATAAATTACAGGACTATAGTAATGAGATAACAAAGAAGTTCAGTATTCATAGTTCAGCCCACAATTGCATAGTAATAAAATGGCCTCTGAATATTATATTCTTAATGATCCTGTAAATTACATTGCTAATGATCCTGGACATAATCAGATTTTTTTCTTATAATGCCACTGGAGCCTCTCTACAGGCCTGTAAGGCCCCTGGTACATAAAAAGAAAGGTCCTATCCTAAGGGCCAACAACCATACATATCAATATGGCTATTTTCAAATATGGGATGAGTATCTATGATTAACTCCCACCATAGGATATCTCAGTAGAAAATCCCCCTTATGTTGGGAACAAAAACACCACTTTTATTCTGGTTGGCCTAATGCCACTACCCACCTGGGGTGGACAGCCCTTGAACAATGTGGACACACAAGTAACTTTTCAGGCTAATGACTGGTTTGCAACAGACTGGTTTAATGGCCCTGGAATCAAATGGGGAGCCCCGAATGGCACTCATTGGTCTTGTGGAGCCTATCTGTGGCCCTGCCTGGGCTCTGGATGGATAGGCAGATGCACACTAGGATTTGCATGGTTACAAGGCAGGAGTATCAAAAATGTCGAAAAACCGGCAAATTTACCCACGTACAACATCGAAGGTACAGAAGTGTGTTCCACTGGTATGATCATTTGGCCTCTGTGTTTATCCCTTCCCTAGGATTAAAAGACATCATGCAATGTACTGAGGCCTTGACTAACTATACCGAGTGGGCCTTAAATGACACTGCTGCTGGTCCCTCTTAAATAAGGAAAAAAAAAAATAATGAGACAGGCTGTCCTTCAAACTCAGATGACATTAGACATTCTAACAGCAGCACACAGAGGCATTTGTGCCATTGTAAAAACTGAATGCTGTGTATATATACTCCTGACTCTTCTGCTAATATCTCAGTAGCTATTCAAGACATTAGATACCAAGTTAACAATATGTAAGGTTCTTAAGACTCCTGGACCTTGTCTTTCTCCTTCTTATGGAAATCTATTACTAGTTCCTATTGGTGGAAATCTTTGTTACCTATACTCATAATTGTTCTACTGGTTTTATTCTTTGGCCCATACATACTCAACTGTTTCTTTGTCTTTGTCTCCTCCAGACTTAGAGCTGTATGCTTACCCATGATGAAAATGCCTGGTATCTATTGAGGGCCTCTAGACAGGATCTCTGCAGAAGTATCTCTGACTGCTGGTCACCACTACAACCCTCTTCAGCCTGAAGAAGCCAGATCGGTCATCACCCATGACGCCCTCATGGCAGTTCTTGTTACTTCTTCAGAGAGGGGACTGTTATAAGCAGCTGAGTTAGTTAGAAATACTACAGGAAGTGAGACAGGGCTAGGTCCTCAAAGGAGCCAGTGCAGAAGCTCAGATACCTTGCAACTAAGGGGAAGACAAGCACCTGCTGCTGTGGGCCAAGCCTCAAGATAAAAGACCATACAAATACATCCATATCCTAAGGAGTGAAGTTCTAAATAGTTCCCCAGCACGCTGAGGAAGTAAGGAGTGACATTCCAAACCTTTAGGGAAGATTCACTGCTCTCTAAGAATTCCTGCATTCTAAGTGATTCCCTTCCCGTTTTGTCCCCAGTTTAATCAATTTTACCTGAACTATTAATCTTATTGGTTAGCCTTAGTTTTGTACCACCTTATGCCCATCTGCCTTGTGAGTACCCAGTTTCCCCATGTTAAACCCTTTGTATGCCATGATTTCCTCGAACCATCTGGAAAATATAGAGTCCCTGGCAACCCGCTTTTGTCTCTCTCTCAGACAGAAGCTTGTTTTCTCTCAATAAATGTATTCTACTCTTAACCTCTGTGGTTCCTAAAATGCATTCTTTGATTTTAGAGGACATGAACTCACACTGGACATAGTGGGCTGGGAATTTCATTCCCTATATCAATAGGATCAGGGCTGAGTGCTGATTCTGGTGTTTTCAACTCCACAGAAGGTTAGGCTGATCCCGGCCTCTGGCTGTGGAGCTGACTGAACTGTTCAGCCCAGGACACACTGGATGTGTCTCACCAGGCTGACTTCGGCTCCCTGACCCTGGACACCTCCTGCACTTGTCCCTCACCCAGCCACTGTGGGATTTCAACACTACGAGGACTGAGATGAAGCCAACCTGCAGCTGCTCAGAGTCTCAGATCAGTTGAGCTGTCCCTAAAATGGCTTCTAAAAGGTAGTTGATGGCAGCCCACTGAGGTACTGTAAGTGTGGAGAGCAGTAGCTTATATGCTCCAGCCAGCTGCTGAGATCCTTTGGATTGAGGGAAGGGATGGTCATGCCAGTGTAAACCAGCAGCCGTTATTGAAATAAAGAACAAAGAAACATATTGCGCATACTTAGGTTATGTAATTTGTTTGCTGCTTGTCCTTACAGGACCTCCTGTTTTTACCTTGGTGGGGGAATGTTTGAAGGTCTGCACCTTCTACCAAAACGCCATCAACCAGATGTGTGCAGGACAAAATGGAGTCAGTGTGGCTTCTTTACAGGTGGCCATTGCTCCCTTCTGCTGCTGAGGTCTCGCAATCCTTCTATAGGCACTGTGGATTAGTCCCTTCCTTGTAGCTTTTCCATTAGTTCTTAGTTCTGTAGTTAAGAACTACAGTACTTAGAGTGCATTGCAGTTGTTTGTATATCTCTCTCTGCTGCAAGACTGTCTTTTTCTTGAGATGCAAAGTTTTATATGTTCTTGTCTTCTGTTTCTTTTTGGCTGTCCTGGGAATTGGACCCAGGGGCACTGTATCACTGAGGTACAACCCTAGCTATCATCATCATCATCATTTACTTTGAGATGGGGTCTCACTAATTTGCCCATGCTGGCCTTCAACTTGTGATTCTCCCACCCAAGTCTCCAAGTTGCTGGGGTTACAGGACTGCATTACCATTCTTGGCTACATGTTTATCTTTGAATCTCTGCCTACTGTATAATTCCCTACTGTTAATGCCCACCAGCATGTTTTCTTTTTTTTTTTTTGAGTAATGAAAGGAGTGAATGAATTCACAAGGTATGAGCCCTGAAAGCAGGTTCTGGATGTGGAACGGATAAATCAGCAAGCAAGATACCTTTAATATGAACTCACCTCAAACACTAAATCAATCTGTAGGCAAGAGGACTGAGCATCAAATTTTTTGGGGTGGGGCGTAATTTGTTGGTAGAATGCAAGGCTGTGGGTTTGATCCCCAGAACTCAGAAGAAACAAAAAGAAAAGAAAAAGCAAGGTATGGTGTGCACACCTGTAATCTCAGTGCTCTGCAAGGCAGAGCCAAGAAGATTCTAAGTCTGAACCTAGCCTGGACAATTTAGCAATACCCTGTCTCAAGAAAATAAAAAATAAAAAAGGCTAGGGATGTATCTCAGTGTGAAGACACTGGCTTCAATTCTTTGTGCCAATAAAATAAAATAATAATGCAAGTTCTAAAGATAGTGTATAGCCAAGCTTGAGGTAGACAAGATTTCATTTAGGTGCTTTGGAAATGAGATTTATAGATAATTGGTCTTGACTGCTGTTAACAAATACATTTTGTGTTTTGGTGGGCCAGGCATGGTGGTGCACATCTGTAATTTCTGCACTTGGGTAGTTGAGGCAAGAGAATTGTTGCAAGTTCCAGGCCAATCTGGGCTACAAATTCAGCTCACGGTCAGCTTGAACTCATAGTGTAGAGAGTGTCTCAAAAAAAAAAATTCCATGGAAGCATACATAATGCTCTCCTGAATCCTTAAACAAAAAGTGCTGAGCACAGTTGGGTAACGGCCTTGAGAATTCAGTGCTGGTGCCATGACCGCCCTCCCTCCCTACCTCTTACACCTCCCACCACCTTCCAAGAGGGCCACAGGTTTTTGGACAGACATATACCCAGCAGTATTGCATGGTATGTGAAATGACAATCAGTGCATGTTTCCAGCAGAATTATTTCTCCTTAACATAACATCAACTGATGAGTGGAAAGGTAATATTTCATTTATTATTCAAAGGACTTCTAGAAAGTCTCAAAAAAGTCTATGGATTTATCACTGCCTTTGAAATCATGTTGCCATGATCCAAATCCTAAAAATGCTATGCTTTCTCCGTCCTTCCCTGAAATCACACTTAAATTCAGTATCACCAGTGCTGGTTTACATTCAATTCAAGGCAGCAAGGCTAAAAATAGCCTTAATGACACACACAATGCATTTTCCTAGGGAAAGACTATGGGCTTATAAGTGTCTCAGCCCAACAGGCAATTCTGAGCTGATGCCGGAAATGGGTACCTTTTCCTATCAGGCACACAGCCAACTGACGTAATTTGCCTTAAATAGCTAAAGTGGGGAAGGGGACTGCTGTTACAGTTGTTCTGACTTCTTAAAAATGCTTATCTTTTTCTGGCTGTGGCATATCAATTAAGAGCTGCCATCTAAAGTTAAAAGTGATTTGCAGAGCTTTCACTTGGGCTTTCATGTGTGAAGCCAGGGTCAGGTGTAACTGGAAAACGCACTGGACAAGGAGCTGGGAGCCCCGGGCACAGCTCCTTGCTGAACTGCTGCTGTGACCTCAAGCAAGGCACAAAATTACTAAGCTTCAGTGTTTCATTTTTCAAATGAAAGGGCTGGATTTTCTTGCCAAAGATTTTTGTAGTTCCAATAGTCAAGAAGATGAAACGATGTTTCAAGATATTTCATTGAAATTGCTCACATAGAGAAAGGGCCTTCTGGGAAGATATAGTTATATTTTTAGATAAGAAGCGCTCATGGTGGGGTAGGGGATTATTGCAAATGTGAACATGAATGCAACCTGTGAGATGACCAGTTAGAATGGAAGGGCACTCTGTGGATTCCTTATCTAACATACAAGGAAGCCAGAAGCCTGAGAGGAAAGGCATCTCTGGGACTGCAGACTCTGGTTCCATGGTCATCTCGCTCTTGGCAGCAAGCCCAATGCTTCCTTGGGTTCATAAAACCAGATGCCATTAGTCAGTGTGAGTTTTTAGGCTGTGCAGAGGTGAGGAATTGTTTTTCTGGAATACCTCCTTCATGTATCTTACAATGGCTTATAGGACAGAAGGCTGGAGTGGATCATCTTGTAGCTATGAAACACAATGTAGTAGTACTGTGGTTAGTCAGCTTTTTCTTGTTTTGACAAAATACCTGACATAAACAACTCAAAGATTTATCTTGGTTCCTGGTCCCAGAGGTCTCAGTCCACATCACATGGCTCCATTGCTTCTAGGGATGCAGGGAGGCAGAAGCACCTTGGCAGAAGGACATTGAAGAGGAAAGCTGCTCACACCATGGCAGCTCAGAAGAGAGAGATGGAAAAGCCAGAGGAGAGGCAGGAACCAGATACCATGCCACTGTCATGCCTGTAGTGTCCGCTCCCTTCAAGTCATCCTCATCTCCCGTTTCCACCACTTCCCAGCATTGCCATTAAATTATGATCTCATCAATAGATTAATGCAATGAGTAGGTTAGAGATCACCTGGTCAGTTACTTCTCAAAGCCCCACTTCTGGGTGAATTTTTGGGGGGACATCTGAGATCTAAACTGTGACAAGTATCCAACTTGTCTTGAAAAATCAAACTGAGGATTGGCTTCATTAGCTCAGAGCTAGAAGAAAAACTCTTGTTAACTCTTACTGTCCTAATACGTTAGCTACTTTGGCACCAGATTTTGATTTGCTGCACACTAAACAATTCTATAGTTTCCTATAGGTAACAGGACTGTGTCCTACAATTTAATTCAAGTCTGATGCTACCTACCTAGAGATAATACAGACTTTCCAGTTGAAAAGCTCAGGATCAAAAGACTGACTCTGCTTCAGACACCAGTGCTGTCTGGTGGGTTTCTAGGTTTCCCACAAATTCTGTCTGACTTGACTGTAAATCAGAGGTTCCTACAACTCCTTCCTCAGACCTGATAATTTGTAGGATGGCTCAAAGAACACAGTTTACTGCCTAGGTCACCAGTTTTTGTAAAGGGTAACCACTCCAGAACACCACGTGGAAGAATGTGACACTTCCTTCTTCTCCCTCTTGGGGGCACCACCTCAAGGTGTTCAACTCTTGGAAGATCTCTGAACTTTACTTTTTGGGATTTTTAAAGAGGTGATCTTACTGCCATGACTGGTTTAATCATTGGCCACAGGTGATTAAATCAATGTGATGGTTAACCCTGATTGTTAGTTTGAAAGTTTTCACCCACCACTCTCTGCTCTCACTGATCCTTGCAAAACACTTTGTTACTCTGCTCTCAAAACAAAACATTGTGAAAAAACTGGTAATAGAAACACATTAAAACTTGAATAACTTTTCATCACTAGAACTCTGAACTTACCTAAGATCACAGCAGCTAGAGCAGCGATGAAAGCAGATTACTGAATTAACACAACATACAGTGTATCTATCCATGTATGTCAGTATGTACTTTGCAAAGGCTTTCCTTGAATTTGTTTAGAATGCACCTTTGGAAATTCTTTGCAGTGTATGAAAGAATAATGCTCTTGATTCCTTTTACTTCTTCCATTCACATCCTTGTGATAGACTGAAAACTCTGCTTGGAACCATCCATGGTGACAAAGTGAAAGAATTCAATGTTTACCTCTATGTATCTAAATAAATATCTATCTAGAGATATCAGTATATAGGTAGAGCTATAAATACATATGTATGCCCTTAGCCGCAGTGCCATAATTCATGATAGGCATGGAAAAGGAGTAAAATAGAAATGTCTTCTCTCAGAGAAATAAAAGTCTACTGGCAGACCCGAGGACTAAGAAAGAAAAATTAATAAATGATTAAGATTATGTTGACTGTGAATAGAACATTCATACTTGGGCCCCTGACTTCTTAAACATATCCAGGTAAACAAAAGGACCCTAGTCATGGCAGGCTGTGAGAA